AAACACAATAAACTAATACCAACACAATAAACTAATACAAACACAATAAACTGATACAAACATAATAAACTAATGCAAAAACAATAAACTAATACAAACACAATAAACTAATACAACCACAATAAACTAATACAACCACAATAAACTAATACAAACACAATAAACTAATACAATCACAACAAACTAATACAACCACAATAAACTAATACAACCACAATAAACTAATACAACCACAATAAACTAATACAACCACAATAAACTAATACAACCACAATAAACTAATATAAACACAATAAACTAATACAAACACAATAAACTAATACAAACACAATAGACTAATACAAACACAATAAACTAATACAACCACAATAAACTAATACAACCACAATAAACTAATACAAACACAATATACTGATACAACCACAATAAACTAATACAAACACAATAAACTAATACAACCACAATAAACTAATACAACCACAATAAACTAATACAAACACAATATACTGATACAACCACAATAAACTAATACAAACACAATAAACTAATACAAACACAATAAACTAATACAGACGTGTGCAACTACTAACACAAATGCACACACACATACAGTCCACTCGTACACACCTCGAGGAGTCGTCTGCGTTTAACCGGCACCACCTTCACCAGCTTGTGGAAGCGTTCCTATGGTGCGAATACGTTGACAAATAATATAGAATTAACTCTCAGATATAGAACTAAGATTATATAGTATCATTAACGTTAAAGTTTATTGACAGAAAAGAATTAACTGTTGAGATATAAAACTAAAAACGTTTATCTTCAACGTTAAACGACATTGACAAATCAAATTAATGGAGACGTAAAATTAGATTTGGATTAACATACATTGAAGTTCAGTAGATGAGATGAGTGGCTATATTTTTAGGGTTTAGGGTTTAGGGTTTTGGCATCATGAGCACGGCAATTATGCGTGAGATTCACTGGTAAAGCAGGGTGTATGTGTATATACATGAAGATGAATACGTTTGTAACAGGACATATACATGCACATATATATAATACATATACATATAGAGATCTACAATACATGCTTATATACATATGTGTATGCATAATACATAAACATGCACATATATATGGCTGATACATTTACCTAAAGATATACATATACATATGCATAATACATTCACATATACATATACATAGCCATATGCATAATACACTTACATGCACATATGCATATACATATGCTTAATACATTTACGTATATACATATACATGTGCATCGTATATGTACATAGACATATATAATACATATACCTATGCATATGTATATTATACAAGAACAAGGGGAATTCCCAAGTACATCTATACATAAACATGTATATACCCCATTCCCATATACATATATACAGATACATACGTAAAATACATTAATGTATATATGATACACATCCAAATACATATATACATATAAATACGTATAATACATTTTTGTATACACATAATACAAATACAAATACATATATACATATGCATACGTAAAATACATTTTTGTATACACATATAATACAAATACAAATGCATATATACATATACATACGTATAAAAATATTATATATGCATGTCATACATATACAAACACATGGACAACATACAATTATAGATGCTATGCTCAAAGTTCAGCTGAATACACATGAGAACTGTGACCACGAGTGTGTGGATGGTCGTGTTGACAAAATGGTGTCTAGAGGAGTATGGTAAACGAACCTCAACTTCACTCGAAAATACCAAGTATAGATATATATATATGTGTGTGTGTGTGTGTGTTTGTGTGTGTGTGTGTGTGTGTGTGTGTGTGTGTGTGTGTGTGTGTGTGTGTGTGTG